TACAAGAGATCTCTGCTAATTTAGGAAAAGTTCAGACTAGTCTGCTCACAGAGACAAAGCTAAAAATTATGAACAGAGCATTGGAGTTTGGGGCTGGGGATTTAGCTCAGCAGCACAGCATCTGCCTGGCAAGCATAAGGTTGTGAGTTCAATTCCCAGTACTGGAAAACAAAACAAAACAGAACAAAAAACAGATTATTGGAGTTCAACATGGCCAATATATCTAAGATTGCATTCTGGTTTGTTAATTTATTTATTTATTTATTTTGGTCTTTTTGAGACAGGGTCTCCATATGGAGTTCAGACTGGCCTTGAGCTCACTTTGTAGCCCAGGCTGGTCTCAAACTTACAACCATCCTCCTGCCTCAGCTTCCCGAATGCTGGGATTACAGGCATGCACCACCACGTTTAAAGATGTTTTTTCTCTTTGCCTGGGTTTTTTGTTGTTGTTGTTGTTTTGTTACCGGGAACTGAACTCAAGACCTTGCGCTTGCCAGGCAGGTGCTTATGATGCTGAGCTATCTCCCTGGCCTTGTTTGTCTGTTTAATGTGTGTTAATAATTGGTTAAAGCACCCTCAGCTGTCTCATTTAAGAAAAAAAATTTTTGAGCTCAATAATTTATTTATTTATTTATTGGTTATTTTTGATATTTCCATGGAAAGACCATTTATATAGGTTTTCAGGGTAGCTAAACTTATTTAAAATATTACCAGATAAAGACTGACAGACCTGAGGCTTACCTAGGAACAAAAGCCTTAAAGCTTCATAACATAAAGTATACATATGATATAAGTTAATATGTGTGTTTCTGTGTGTTACCTTTTCAGTGCAGTACCTATTATCCTCCAAAAGTCCCCTACTCTGCATATCCATACACACCTCTGGCCCACCCCCACCAGCACTGTTTGGTGTTTTATAGTCCATGCCCTAAAAAATGTATTTCTTCCAGAAAGTAGGGAAAAGCCCTATATTTATAGAAGTAGAGGTATATTCTGTTCTTGAGCTGTATTTCCTTTAAATTAGTTCTGCAGTAACATGTTATGCGAAATTTTCTTTCTGCATGTTTTTTAAATAGACTCTACTTTGGTATGGGTTTTTTTTTTTTTTAAAGAAATTGATTTTTTTCACCTCATCAATTTGTAGAACGAATTCTCTGAAAGAAAGGGAAAAGTGCATCAAAGTGGATTTAGAAAGTTATCTGTAGGCCAAGTGTGGTGATGCATGTCTGTAGTTCCAGCACTCATGAAGCTGAGGCAGGAGGATCAGTGTGAGTTCAAGGCCTGTCTGGGCTACATGGTGAGTTTAAGTCCAGCCTGAACTACACAGCAAGACCTCGTCTCAACAAAACAAAACAAAACGAGAACATATTATCTTTAAAGAAAAAGTGTTGTGTGGTTTTTTGACACTATTGAGCAGTTTTGTTAATAGATATTTTTGTATGCACCTTTCAACATTAACAGTTCTGAAGTCATGGTCTGGTACTAGATTTAACAAAGTCAAACACTGTGGCACATTGGGGCTGGGGATTTAGCTCAGTGGCACAGCGCCTGCCTGGCAAGAGCAAGGTCATGTCGATTCCTGGTACCAGGAAAAAAAAACAAAAAACACTGTGGCACCTGCCTGTAATCCCAGCACTCAGGGAAGCTGAGGCAGGAAGATCACCATCAATTTGACCATGCCTGAGCTGCATGGTCAGTTCAAGGTCAGCCTGAACTACAAACCACGAACCTGTCCCCAAAAGACCAAATAAAGCCAGGTGTGGTGGCGCACACCTGTAATCCCAGCACTCAGGAGGCTGAGGCAGGAGGATTGTTGCAAGTTCAAGACCAGCCTGGGCTACAAAGTGAGCTCAAGTCCAGCCCGAATTGTATAGCAAGGCCCTCTCTCAAAAAGAAAACAAAAAACAAACAAACAAAAACAGACCAAATAAATAAACAAATATATATATACCAAACCACCTAATATTTCATGGTTACTTTTATGGATTAAAATAAATTCCTAACAATTAAAAAAATCTGTGATGCCAGGCATGGTGGTACACACCTACAATCCCAACACTTTGGAGGCTGAGGCAGGAGGACAGCCATGAGTTTGAAGACATCCTGGGTTACATAGTGAGTTCAGATCCAGCCTGAACTACACTGCAAGAATTTGTCTCCAAATTAAAAAAGAAAAATCTGTGATACTTTTGAATCTTGTCCTTTTAACTGAACCAGGATCACTCTCCCCAGAACTCCTTTCCCTTTGCAGCTATGTGTTACAGTTGGCCAACAGGAAAAATTAGCGTGAAATTTGGGAGGAAAAAGTGAATCAGTGAAAACCTCTGGCTAGAAATGAGGAGGGACAGGCACAGAGGATTGGGGAAAAGTCCAGTCTGTGCTAATTGAAGACAGGAAGAAAAACACAAAAGGAGTATGTTGGTTTGGGGTTATTTTGCAAGATGAACAATATAATACAGGACACATATTTTATAAGATTATTTATAATAGTCACCCAAAGAATCATATACAAGAGAGTGCAGGAAATCTGTCCCCACACTAAAAACCAAAGAATCTTGACCAGCTGAGGGCCTGGATCCCATGATAATGTCCTGCATGAGTCCAGCTGAAAACCTAGAGCTCATAACAATGCCTCCCACAAGTCCAGCTGGAGGCCTAGAGCCCATGACAACATCTCATGCAGGCCTGTTTCACGGATCTACGCTGCCAAGGCCCAAAGGTCGGTGGTGGAATCTAGAAAGTCTGTGGCAGCAGGATGAAGGATCTGTGCTAGCAGGCTGAGGGATCTGCACTGCAGCCAGGAAGTGACGTGCAAAGTAAAACCCAGAGCTCCCCGCAAGAGGTACCACAGCCATCCTCAGCAACAGTGAGGTCCTGAGCTCCTCCAGTGGTGAAGACAGCTGAGTTCCCATCAGGAAAGCCAATGCAGCAAGCTTCTCCAGGAGACTGGCAGTGCACCATCTTCCCCTCCAGAGCCAGGAAGCGATGCTCAAAGTGAGGACCAGAGCTCCCCCAAAGTGAACCAAAGCCATTCTCAGTGCCAACGAGGTCCCAAGTTCCTCAGAGGATGAAAACAGCCGAGTTCATCAGGAAAGCCAGATGACAAGCTCCTCCAAGAGAACCAGCAGCTCCTTACAGCTTCTACCAGCTCCCAGCAGCCTTCACTAAGCTCCCAACAGCCTTTCTTCTTCCTCTCCAGTTCTGCCTCTTATGCTGCTGGCAACAATCCCCAGGTGGGCCTCCCACAACCAGCACTGCGCTTACTCAGTTCAGCTGGGGTCACAAGTTAACCACCGGCTGTCAGTCCAGCACAGGGAGTCAGTCAGGTAAAGTACCCTCATTTGTCCTAAGCAGACTTTCGTGGGGAAATGTACCACCCAGTCATCAGTGCAGAACCTAAGCATCACCTCACATTAGACTCAACCGTAAGCTTCAGAGCAGAGATGAGGACTTGCGCTACAACTATTAGAACACGTGTTAAATAAAGATTTTGTTAAATAATAAGTTTAGCCTTCTACACATATCTCTGGCCCAAGACCAAAAATGTTTGCTTCAGAGAAGGGAAAATTCTTTGGTATAAAATAATTCTAATTAATAACTGTTGAAAGAATGACAGAAATAGAACCCCACAGCAGTAATGACTGCAAACAAGAGCCACTGATGAAAGCTAAAATTAGTTGGCAAAAGTTTAAGAACATTACACTTATATAACCTCAAAGTCTCTTCAGCTAAGCAGAGTGGCATGTGCCTGTTATACCAGCACTGAGGAGGCTGAGGCAGGAGGATCACCAAAGTGAGAGGCCAGCCTAGACCTCAAAAATGAAACAAAAGTATCTCTGCCCAAATATTTATTAATTATAAAGGGAAAATAGTTAACTTCACAGGGGAGAAACCCAGCATACGTCATCCTAAGGGATCAAGGTTATTGTCACTACTAACAAACCACATCTCAACACATACACCCTGTGTGATGTACTAAAAAAAGCACTTCATTCCGTAGTAATTCTTCTAAAAGCATCAATATCATCATGGAAAATATCCGATGAGGCCAAATTGAGGCACATTCTACAAAATATCAAACTAGAACTCTTTAAATGCATAAAAAAAAAAAGTCCCAGCACTTGGCAGGCTGAGTCAAGAGGACTGCTGTGAGTTGAAGGCCAGCCTGAACTGTGTAGTGAGACCCTGTCTCAAAAAAAAAAAAAAAGCACAAAGAAAGATTGAGGCAACCGTCACAATCAGAAGAGACTTTGGAGACAGAGCAACTAAACGCAGTGTTTTGTATTGAGTAGATGCTAGACACGTGGTGTGGGTTTTTTTAGACATGTGGTTTTTGGGGTAGTATTTTACAGCTTTAATTTCGTCATTTTGATCCTTTTAGCAGAGAAAGCTGACAGAACTCTGTAACACTTCTGTGTTTCCAAGTAAATTTTTCTTTCCTTAGAGAACTGGAAATCGAGCCCAGAGATCACTAAGCTACATCAACAGCATTTTTGTTTTATTTTTTTTTGAAAGAGTCTTGCTAAACTGACCAAGCTGGTCCTTTTTTTTTTCTTTTTTGGTCTTTTTGAGACAGGGTCTCACTATGCAGTTCAGGCTGGCCTTGAGCTCGCTTTGTAGCCCAGGCTGGACTTGAACTCACAAAGATCCTCCTGCCTCAGCCTCCTGAGTGCTGGGATGATAGGTGTGAGCCACTATGCCCAGCTCATAACAATATTTTAATCCTAATTTCACTTCCAAAATGCTCTAGAAGAGCATTCAGAGTTCTGGCAAAGAGCTTGAATCCCTTCCTCACTGAAGAACACTAGTAAAGGTACAGCAGGGTTCTCCGGAGGGCAGAGAGAAAAAAAAGAAAGTTAGAAGAGCCACAGGAAAAAAAATTTTTGGTTTTCTGCAGCTATTATTACATGATTCTGGGCTGCTGGCTGAATAACTGGGAGGAAATGTGGGAGGAGGGAAGGTTAAGGGCACAGCAGTACAGAGAGGAGGACATAAAATCATTTCCATGGAAGCTTTAATTTATTATTCGGGGAGAAAATTATTACTTGGTCATCTTAAGAGGAACTAGTTAGGACAGGCATGGATTTCTATCGGATGTGTTCCAAGAGCCTAGAACACAGGAATATCTGGGACAGGAATTGAACAAATAGTTGTTACATAGACTTCTGTTACAGCAGAATTAAAGCCACATCATTTTCATCAAGGAGAGAGTTAAAGAATAATAGGGAGCTTCCACATACCGTGCAAGGTCGGCCTCAGAAAGTCAGGAGGGACAACCCACCAAAAGCCTCTAAAGTAGCTACAGATTTATAACTTTCCTCCCCTGGTGCTGGGGACGGAATGCAGGGCCTCACCCATGCTGAGTCAGCACTGTACCAGTGAGTCACACCCCAGCCAGCCCAGTGCTTTTAAACCTTTAATGTCCATGTATCACCTGACCCAACAGGCCTGGGGGTGGAGCCCGAGACTGCGCTTCCAACAAGTTACCAGGGAAGCCAACTCTGCTGGTCCTCCACGCCACGCTGGGAGCTGGGCTGCCAACACAGCCCCTAGATGTTACGCTTCTGGTTACTGTTATGGTGTGACTGCTCTGGCTGCCAAAGGCAGTGAATACTGCGGTCTTGAAATTCTGTCTTGGTATTCTAGACAACTAAGTTAAGTAGAAATATAGTAGGCAGTCAGGCAGCGCTGGGCCCTGAGGGAGTCCGTGCAGAAGATGAGAATCCATCCGGACTGGCTGGAGGAGCATCTGAAGATTAATGTCACAATGGCTAGTTTTCCATACGTCCCTAAGGGGTGAACAGAGGCTTGGGATTATTGGTGTCACCCTCTTAAGATTTCCCATTACCTCACGAGGGGTGGGCCACCCTCTCCCACCCACCAAGACTAAGACTAAGACTGCTGGGACCAAAGACAAGACTAAGACTATAGATTAGCAACCAAGGTTAATGATGTCACTCTTGTACCCTGGCTACCATTAGATCAATATTACCTAAGTGACTACACTTGCAGTCTTATTCATTGATCATAATTTTGACCCACATTGTACCCGCCTCATGATTAACATTTCCTTTGAGAGGTGGGCTCATCGGCAGTCCCTTCAGGACCCCTCCTGTCTCAGGAGCTATTCCTATTCCCCATTCCTTTTCTCCAATAAATTTTCCTACTCTTAACCTCCAATGTTCCTTAGAATTCATTCTTCGAGCTGGGCGTGGTGGTGCAGGCCTATAATCCCAGCATTTGGGACGCTGAGGCAGGAGGATCGTTGGGAGTTTGAGACCAGCCTGGGCTACAAAGTGAGCTCAAGGCCAGCCTGAACTGCATAGTGAGAATCTGTCTCACAAAGACCAAAAAAAAAAGAATTCATTCTTAAACTTCAGGGGATGTGAACTTGGCGTATTTGACATCTAGCATTTCCCCTATGTCACTGGCCCTCCAGACATAGCTCTAGAATGGTTTTCTGTCTGTCTGTCTGTCTTTGTCTTCCCTTTCAGGCTTCATGGTTGTCTACTTCCTCTTTGGATCTCTTTAATATTCCTATTTCCTGGGTTTCTGTCTCAGCTCTCTTTTCTTCTATTAGTACTAAGTAGAAAAGCCCTAATCCTAAGTATATAGTTGTGCTGAAAATATGTTTAGCACTTTCTAAATATGTATGCCATATCCTTTTAAAGGGTTGAGTTGTTTTGTTTTGTTTTGTTTTGTTTTTTGACCCAGGGCAGTTTAGGCTGGACTTCAGCTCACTTTGTAGCCCAGGCTGGTCTTGAACTCACAAAGATCCTCCTGCCTCAGCCTCCCGAGTGCTGGGATTATAGGTGTGCACCACCACACCCAGCCTGACAGGGGATTTTAAATACTGGGCTATATATATTTTTTGGGGGGGGTTATATATTGATTTTTGTTTTGTTCCTGATTTTATGAGGAGCGACTAAACTTCTTTTCCTTGAAATGTAATGTTTGTTCTCAATCTTAAATAATCTGTTTTATTTTATTTTACTTCTGGGCTTGAACAAAAAATTGAATAAAATGAGCAAAAACCCAAATGTGGTAGCACAGGCCTGTGATCCCAGCACTCAGGACGCTAAGGCAGGAGGATTTCCATGAGTTCAAAGCCAGCCTGGGCTACATAGTGAGTTCAAATTCAGCCTGAGCTACATAGCAAGACCCTGTCTCAAAATCAAACAAACAAAAAGCAGGGGTAAAGTTTATTCAAGAAAGCAAAAGTGAAGAGTAGGAGAGAAACTGGCTCGGCCGAGCAAGCTTAGGCCAAGTAAATAGAAAAAGAGGGTGACAGCAAAGATAAAAGTATGCACTGTGCCTGGGAAACACAGTGTGGGCTGGCATGGAAAGCTATGATACCGTTTTTGTTTTTTTGAGAGATGGGCTTGTTATGTTCCAGATTGGCCTTGAACTCTCAATCCTCCTGTCTCAACCTCCACAGTGCTGAGATTACAGGTGTGTACCACGACACCTGCCTTAATTCTAAATAATCTTTACATTTTTTTTTCTTAGGCTGGCCTTCAATCCACTATGTTGCCCAGGCGGGCATTGAACTTGAAGGGAGCCTTCTGTCTCAGCCTCTCAAATGCTGGGATTACAGGTCAGTGCCACCACACCTGGCTTACATAATTCATTTTCTTTTATTTTGGTTTTTTGCACTGGGAATCGAACTCACAACCTCATACTTACCAGGTAGGTGCTGTGCCGCCAAGCCATATCCCTGGCCCCATACTTCAGGGTTTTTTTTTGTTTTTATTTTTTGTTTTTTTTTTTTTTGTCTTTTTGAGACAGGGTCTTGCTGTGCAGTTCAGGCTGGCCTTGAGCTCACTTTGTAGCCCAGGCTGGTCTTGAACTCACGACGATCCTACTGCCTCAACCTCCCGAGTGCTGGGATTACAGGCGTGCGCCACCACGTCTGGTCCATACTTCATTTTAAAAATTGAGATAAAACATAAAATTCACCACTTTAGCTGGGCATGGTGGCACACACTTGTAATCCCAGCACTTAAGAGGCTGAGGCAGGAGGATCACCATGAGTTCAAGGCCAATCTGGACTACATAAGTGAGTTTCAAGGCCACCCTGAACTACATAGTGAGACCCTGTCTCAAAAAAATAAACAACAATCAAAAAACTTGTAAAATATACAATTCAATGTCTTTAGTATGTTCATTATGCCATGCAGCTATCACCATTTTCTAATTCCAGAGCATTTCCATCCCTCCAAAAAGAAACCCCATACCTATTAACCCCATACCTATTTTTCCCCTCCTTGCAAAACCCTGGGCAATCACTAATCTGCTTTCTGTCCATGGATTCGCCTACTCTGTAGGTCCATTTTCATTTTCCCTTCTTGGCCTTTCTGCCAGACATGCATTTAGGTAATTACTACTGTGGAGGATTTTATAGTTGCTGCCTTACCATCCATTCATCCCTTCTCCATGGAGTACCAGCCCTTAATTTTTTTTTTTTTTTTTTTTTTTGTGACAGGGTCCTCACTATGCAGTTCAGGCTGGCCCTGAACTCACAGCGATCCTTCTGCCTCAGCCTCCCAGAAGAGAGCTCTAGTTAGGGATTCCATCCACCTTACCTCTATGCAAGGTTCAGGCATAAGCATATGACCTAACTTCTTGGTGCAGAGTGGTGCTTAGGGGGGTGTGTGTGTGTATGTGGTTTGACTTGTGTGCAGTGTTACAGTTTAGATCTAGAAGGTCCTCCCAAAGCCTCTACAAGACTATTATGAATATAACCAACAAATGTTTCACTAGGAAGACCCAAGAAGAGCCTTCTATACAGCGGCTAAGGAGAAGGTCTAGGGAATTGTAGAATCTGATACGGCCCTCATGTGTTCAGTGGTGGGACTTTGGGAGGTGGGGGGGGGGTTCTGGGGTCACTGTGCTCATCAGTGGCTTAGTCTACCGAGAAGTTTACACTAGACCGAGCTCTGGGGAGGACGGGCCTGCCAGAGGAGGCAGTCACTGGGGCGGGGCTTGGGAGGACGCCTCTCCCTCCTCGACTCCCCCCGGACCTCTCTGCTTCTCACTGTCAGGACAGGAACGGCTTCCCTCAGCTAGGCCCCTTTGCCAGGCTCTTTCTGTCTTGGTGCCCCTGACTATGGACTGAAATTTCTAGAAACCATGAGCCCAAATAAACTCTTCTCCTTTAAATTATGGGTGTTGGATATTTTGTCCCAGCAATAAGAAGGTGATTAAGACATACAGTTAAGGTCCAAGTCATAAATGTACAGTTTGTCGAATTTTATATCTCCATATACCTGTGTGAGCGCCTTGCAGAACGAGTTCTATGGCGTTACAGCATTCCCGGTGCCCCGGGTCTCCTCCCAGTCCGGGGCCTCACTCCAAGGACCTTCTCTTCTGACCCAGGGCTCAGAAGTCCCGTTCAATAACGAGAAGTGAGTTGTGGTCCCTCTTCCCCGAATGTGAGGAAATAGCTCTCCAGGCTGAGAAGTTTCGGAAAGCTACCTGACTCCGAGCGAGAGCAGCCTAGAGGTGACGTGGACACGTGGAGTCAGCGAAGACGTGAGAACTTGAGGGAGACAAACCACAGCTCTTACAACAGTGAATTTTATATTCATGAGCCAGTAGAGTAAGCGATTTCAGAGTTTAAATTTAATTTCGTTCAACTCACAATTTCTAACCTGGGTTAGAATCTCAGCACTGCCTCTTACCTGGCATGTGTCCACGGGCAAGTAACTAAGTTAAGTAAACTTTTTTAAGCTTCAATTTTCTGATCCTTAAAAAATGGGAGAACAAGCCAGGTGTGGTGGCACACTCCTATAATCCCAGCACTCAGGAGGCTGACGCAGGAGGATCATTGCGAGTTGGAGACCAGCCTGGGCTACAAAGTGAGCTCAAGCCTAGGCTGAACTGCATATCGAGACCCTTCTCAAAAAGACAAAAAAAGAAAGACGCTAACCCATATCAAACTGTTAAAAAAAGAAGAGCTCGCCCATAACAGTGTCTTTTGTTTTGTTTACATTGAGGGGGAAATTTTATTAATTCAAATTAACCACCAAGCAGTGAAAAGCAGGGATTTGTGTGTATTAAACCCAGGGCCTTTGTCCTGAGCTACATCCCCAGTCCTTTTTTATTTATTTCCTTTTAAAGTTTTGAAACACATTCTCATTAAATAGCCCAGGCTGAGCTTGACCTCGTGATCCTGCCTCAGCCTCCCAGAATGCTGGGATTGCAGGAATGTGCCACCACACCCAGATCATCCAGATGAGAGCATAATTTTAAACAGTTAGTTCTCAGTTTATATGAAATATTTTTTTGGTGCTGAGAATCAAACTCAGGACCTTCTGCTTGCCAGGCAGGTACTGTACCACTGAGCTATATCCCTGACCCAAGACTTATTATTTAAATCACATATTTCTCTCCTCCTAGACTAACACTAGAAAGGGCTGATAGGAAGTCTATTATTCAGAAATCTCTGATCAGGGTGGCCAGACCACCCTGATCACACCCGATCTCATCAGAAATCTCTTTTGGGGTGGTGGCAGTAGGCACTTGGGGGGCTTTTTGGCCCCTATTTAAAACCCAAAGCTGTCCAAAGGGAGTCAGAGCCCTGCTCCTCAGATCTGAAATTCGACCTTCAAAGAGAAGGAACGTGTGCAGAGGGAGAGGACTGCCCACATCAGCAAGAGTCCACTTCATCCTAATTCCTAGCAACTGGAATCTCACACGCTTCTGGGAAGCAAACTCTCAGACCTCGTAGGATTTGGGCGCCCCCTGCTGGAGAAGCGGTGTTTCTATGTTCTCTCTAACAGGAAGGTAACGCACAAGCCTGGAACGTGACGTAACTGCCTTTTTTATGTGTGAGGCAGAAATTGAGAGGCTGGGGGGCTAGGATAGCGAATCCTCCCCAGTTGTATATGCTACTCCCACGTATTAACTCCTCCTCCCGCGACTGCCCAAAAGCCAGACCTGCAAACTCCTACTTCTCGAGATGACATTGCAGCTTTTCCAACAACTCAAATATTGGGAAAAGTGAATTTCTGGGCCAAATAATGCCTGCATCCAGATCCATTTCCAGTAGCCCAAGTACATTCTGGTGCACAGGCGTCTCCCTGTCCAGCTTACAAGTCTACATCTGCAGAAGCTGGAAGAGCTGAGCAATCTATGGCGTTTGCAGAAAGGTGGAGATGGAAGAGGAAGGCGGGGACGGAGGGAAGGGGGTATCACCAGAAGACTGCTTTCCACAGTGGGCACGAGAGCCACAGCTGCACTCATCCAAGGGGAGGCAGAAGTACAGGAAAACTGTACTTATTTTTAAAATTTTTGTGGTGCTGTGAGTTGAACTCAGATCCTCACTCATGTTAGGCAAGTGCTCTGTCACCGAGCCACATCCCCAAGCCATAGCAGGAGAAGTAAGAAGCACAAAGTAATTGCTGCCAGTTCATTCATTATTCTAGTTCTGGTCCTGGCCATCTCCCAAAGCTGGAATTTAAGGGTATGAGAGCCAATGAGCCCCAAACTCTAAGATTAAGCACTTCCAACCTCATCCCTTATGTCATTTTTTTTTTTTTTTTTTTTTGAGACAGGGTCTCGCTATGCAGTTCAGGCTGGGCTTGAGCTCACTTTGTAGCCCAGGCTGGTGTCAAACTTGCAATGATCCTCCTGCCTCACCCTCCTGAGTGCTGGGATTACAAGCGTGCACCACCACGCCCAGAAATCAAACTGAGGACCTCGTGCTTGCTAGTCAGGAGGTTGAGCTGCTGAGCTATATCCCCAGCCCAATTTTGTTTGTTTGTTTGGTTGGTTTTTGTCATTTTTAATTATACTCTTCTTAGCTGGGCATGGGGGTACATGCTTGTAATCCCAGCACTCAAGAGGCTGAGGAAGGGGGATCACTTTTGAGTTCGAGGCCAACCTGGGCTACAGAGTGAGCTCAAGGCCAGCCTGAACTGCATAGCGAGACCCTGTCCCAAACAGACAACAAAAAAATTATATTCTTCCTTCTACACCCAGTCCATCAAGAAATCCTGTTCACTCTACCTTCCAAATACATCTTTTCAACCTGGCAGGGTGGCACCCACCTGTAATCCTAGCACTTGGGAGTCCGAGGCCGGAGTGAAATACGATAGAAGAAATAAAAAGTAGGTAGAAAAGAGACAAGGAAATTGAGATTTTAAAATTGAGAAGAACTGCAGCTTCCAGACAATCCTTTTTCAGGAAACTCACTCAAAAATAATTCCTAGCTGGGGATATAACTCAGCAGAACAAGCGCTTGCTTGGCAAGCCTGGGGTCATGAGTTCGATTCCCGGTACAAAAAAAAAAAAATTCCTAAATGTGCTTTTCATCTGTAAATTGCATTTGGAGGGTAGAGCTGTCCTTTGCCCCTGGAAATCCTATTTCCTTCACCGAGAAGCAGCAACACTGGCGGCAGCAGTTCTCAACCTCAGACACATGCACACGGCTTGTATTGTAACTGGGCAGTCTAGCTCACCATCTTAAAGACACCCCTGAGATGTGCCCCGATCTAGCTTGCAACGTTTCTCACTTCTCCAAGCACCTACACTCCATTCTTTGTGTGTGTCCTATGTCCTACAGTTTCTGCCTAATAGACCCTACTCATGCCTCTTTTTTTTTTTTTGCACTGGGAGTCGAACTCACGACCTTGCATTTGCCAGGCAGGGACCATGCCACTGAGCTAAATCCCCGGCCCTATCATGCCTCTTTCTGAAAAGTGCTGAAAATTCTTTTTGTATACTGGGAGGCAATGAATCTCCAAGTTTATTTTAAAAGAGTGGAACAGGTTCCTGATTGTGGCCTTGCGAACCTCTTAGACTCAGCCTGGTGACAAGGAGGATCACTCAGTTCAAGGCCAGCCTCGGCTATGCGATGAGACCCTGTCTCAAGACAAACAAACACAAAAAATACATCTTTTCTCTCTAATTCACTGGTGTGATACTGGTCTCTGAGTTTTCATAATCTCTCTGGACAGCAGCATTGCTCCTTACTGATCTGGTCTCGAACTCGCAACGATCCTCCTGCCTCAGCCTCCCGAGTGCTGGGATTACAGGCATGCACCACCATGCCCAGCCAGGATGTTTTTCTTAATACTGAGGTAGCTTGACTGCTTGAAGCACTCTGGTTGTGTCCTGCCCTCACACATATGACCAATTTCCAGCTCCAGTGGCTCCCAAACAAGTTCCAGTTCTACAAAATCAGCTCTCTATCCCGCTCTCTCTCTGACACCTTCTCCTGCCCATATTCCCCTGCTCTTTCTGCTCCAGGCACAATGGTGTCTCTGCTATTTCTCAAACACAGCAGGCATGCTTCCTATTTAGGACCATTATACTAGTATTATAACAGCTAAATTAGATAGAAATTAATATACAGTCATCAAATTAGTATACAGTCAGTATACATTAGTATACAGTCATCAGGACTGGGCTCTCAAGGAAGTCAGCACAAAAAATAAAGACATCAGAATTGCGACTGGAGGCGAATCTGAAGAAAGCCAGCCATCAAGATGGGGTCAAAGTAGCTAAGCCTGCACGCCTCCCTACGGGATAAACAGCAAACTGAGATTATCTGTGATTGGCACCACCTGACCCAGTGACTCCAGCTAGGCATCAAATGCCCAGGCGGGTGACTAGAACATCTGGACCCCTTTGTTCTTTCCATGTATCCTCGCTACATGACTCGCTTCCCTGTTGGATGAATATTAGCTAAGCCACTATACTTGGAATTCTACAGACTGATTGTAGTTTGATTCATGTTGTATTCACTTTGTGATTTTGCCATATACGTTACTTCTGACAAAGGGCCTCAATGGCCACCCATTCAGGGCCCCTCCTGGAAACCCAGGAGTTATTCTCCTTCTCCTTACTTCCAATAAAGCTCTCTTAATGTCCTCCTTTGACTCACAACTTCATTCCTGAACGTTGTGAGGCCACAAACTCAGTCCATCTGACATCTAACAGGTCTAGAGTTACATTTTTCCTATATCACTAGCTCTTCCCTCTGCCTCTGACATTTCCCATCGATAACCACATGGAAGTTCCCTCCCCAACTTCAAATCCTTGTTCACTTACTACCTTTTCAATGAGGACACCCTGATTACCCTGTTTTATTTTATTTTATTTTATTTTATATTTTTGAGACAAGGTCTCACTATGCAGTGCAGGCTGGCTCTCTTAGTTACTTTTCTCTCACTGCTGGGACAAAATACCCAATACCCAAAGTCAAATGGGGGAAGGCTTATGGAGCTCACAGTTTGTAGAGGTTTCAGTCCATAACTGGCTGGCTCCCAGGCAGGGTGGCACATGGTAGAGGGCTTGGCGGCCAAATCTTCTCTTTTTTTTTTTTTTCACTCTTATAACTTTATCTTGCATTTTACAGAAGTCTATGAACAATCTTTAAAAAGCACCTCCTTACCCCATCATGTTTCTCTGACAGTTGTTAAAGTAGGCAATAAGTACATCCCAAATCTCTTTCTGTCCCTCATAGTGTATGCAGGCTACCTGTCCTAGGGCAGATGTAGTACTCACACACTTAATCCCAGCATTGC